AGGAAGCTGGGTTGCTAGCCAACTAATACATGTCCAGAGTGGACAGGAAGCTGGGTGGATAGCCAACTAATACATGTCCAGCGTAGACAGGAAGCTGGGTGGATAGCCAACTAATACATGTCCAGCGTGGACAGGAAGCTGGGTTGCTAGCCAACTAATACATGTCCAGAGTGGACAGGAAGCTGGGTGGATAGCCAACTAATACATGTCCAGCGTGGACAGGAAGCTGGGTGGATAGCCAACTAATACATGTCCAGCGTAGACAGGAAGCTGGGTGGATAGCTAACTAATACATGTCCAGCGTGGACAGGAAGCTGGGTGGATAGCCAACTAATACATGTCCAGAGCGGACGTAATGCTGAGCAAATATCCGACTAATATTTCTCCTGGGCGGACTCGAGGCTATGTGAAAAGCCTGCTAGTAGTTATAACATTGCACGTAATGCTAATGGAATAGCCCGTTAGTATTCAGGGTGCGAAATTAACGTGAGTCCGGAGTCAAATACTCCCTGATTTACTGTCGGACTCCCTGATTTGACATATGCAGGAGACTCGAGTCCGTGTGACTCCCTGAAAATTCTGCTATACTAACTAGTTCGTTCCAGAGCACGGCCTCACGGAATTGCCGTATTTTTGCAGCAAACGTCCAAAGACAATTTGGCAGACGTGCAACCGCATGAATCTTCAAAATAAGCACACGCGTGTAATAGTAGGGACTACCTACTGTGCGCATGCACATGTTGTTTTGTAGAACCTTGTTGTTGGGTCGGAGCGGATTGATACCGCGCCCTCTTGTTGGCCAGTTCGTATGGCTGCTAGGCAGAACATGTATCAGCTCCAGTAATAAACGTCTTTATGAGTTACATCACTCTTCGTCAATACTTAACAACGCGTTATTGTTAATATCTTTAGTTTTGAACTTCAGACTGCCAACTCCTTAATTTTGCTGCGGAGGGGCGGGGAGTCCGTTGGACTCCCTTGTTCAAAAGATCATTTCTACCCCTGGTATTGGTTCAGCATTGCACGCAACCAGCGAGTCAGAGAGAGGAGCAGTTACGGGAATTTGGCGCGACGTTGCACACGTGAGCTGCGGATAGAGATGGCGAGCGACTGCCGAAGTTTTGTAGGATGCTGGATGCAAGACTGACGTCATGAATCGGTAGGTCTTTCGTCAAACTGCATGCAGTGCCCCCTTCGTACAACTCAGGATACCACTGCCGCAAGGCTAGCACTATTTTTAAAGTGGTCGGAGCTCCGGGGAAATCCAACGAATGGTGATTCGTAAACAGCGTATCTATATAATAATTTGAGTAGTGTCGTTCTGTTTGTTCCTGCATATCTTCTAGGCGCGTGCACGAATCCGGTTGAAAATTTTCGTGCCTCATTCCTACGCATCAGGTTCGATTCTAACACTTTGCTTTTTGTTATTTATTGGGTTATATGTTTAAAAAAACCATATTTAGAAAATATAATGGAAAAT